TTCTGAGTAAGTTCTCTCTTTATTTACTGACTCCAGCTCTATGCACATTTCATCATAATACTTTGTTTTGGTTTTTTTTTTTTAATACTTTGTCTTCTTGAGCTGCTCTTTGAAATCTTCTTTTCAACTCTTTTACTTTATCATTATTCCCTTTGTTTTGGCTTCTTGACATTCTAGTGTGATTTTCAGACTCTTCTGACATTCATTTTTATCTTTTTCTTCTCCTCTGTGTTTGTAATGACCTTTTATTATGATATCCTTGATGTCATCCCACGGCCCATTTGGTCTTCAATCATTAGTTTTATTAAATGCCTTGAATTTTCGTTTTCTTCAGCTTCAGTGTAAATTTGCACATGAATAATTGATGGTCTGTTCCACAGTCAGTCCCTTGGTCGGTTTTTACTGAGGACATTTAGTCTCTCTAATGACTCTTTCAACAGATATTGTCAATCTGATTCCTTTTTATTTCATTAGGTGATATGTGGTTGGTCTTCATTTTTATTTATAATTGTTATGAAAGCAGCAGATGTGATGTGAGTGTGTCTGAGTCCAACTTCTGCCCACTTCATAAAGTGAAACTTTCCTCATCTATTGCAATAGCAATAGCCATATGCTATAGCCATAGCAACAAACTGATAGCTGTTAAGTCAGACACACTTCACCCTCCATGTTCTCTACTTATTTCCACCAATCACTGGCTTTAATATTTGTTACTGACTCACAGACTTTACTCACAGTTTAGTAAGACTGAGGTTTATTAGAGAAGTAACTTAGAGAGTGGGGAGGCAAGTAATATCACTCAATGCAAGTCCAGCATTAGTCCAGTAGTCCCAAGGCAGATTAATAGCAAAATACAATTTCTTAATTACTACAAGTTCCAGTTCAGTTCAGCAGCACAAATCCAAATCATCCAGCAAGGCTGGCCTCAGAGCAGTCTAAGTCACCTTCTCCTTCAATCATCAGGGAAGAACAGCAAAACCTTTAATTGTGGCCTCTAACTCAGAACTACTGTGGTAACACCTTACCACAGTTTCTCCACAGCAATGCCACAGTTTCTCTACCACCACACCAGGATCTCACTCTCACCAGAGTCTTGCTCTAGTCTCCCTCAAGTGAGAAGTTCTCTTTCTCTTATCCTACTTCCACAGCTATTGATGATTTGCAAGATTATGTCATCTGCAGTTAATGTAGCTGGAGATCAGAGGGGCTAATGCAATGGCTAGAAAAATAAACTATAAAGCTAACACCCCAATGTACTTGCAAAGTATTAATCACTGCTTGTGCAAAATTCAATCATTCAATCTCTAATCTCATTTCTGTCACCAAGACTGAAATTTCTGATTACCAGTCCCAACTTCTGCCTTCCAGTCACCAATAATAATTAATAAATCTTGATTGCATGTTTGACTAAGACCCACTGGCTGTGCTGGGTAGTGATGGAAACTCCCTGGGAGATGAGGGTAGTGTATTACAATGTCCAATTAATTAGAATTAAGTTCTTGAGCTGCCCTGTCCCAGTATAGTCCATGACTTCATGTATTGTACTAGGTGTGAGCAACAGGTGAAACTGTGACTAATCACTCCACAGGATGACCCATAAAGGTGCCTACCCACAAACCAGGCACAGGCATTTGTTTTAATAAACTGCATCAGACCCAGCTCCGGTTCTTTCTATATATGTCGAGTTGCAGTCAGCTACTTAATACCTTTCTATGCCTGCATCTTTACCTGTAAAGTGATTTTTTAAATAAATTTTTTACTTTATACTGGTTTATTTACAAAGTTTGTATACATTGTTTTCCACACTGGATATTTCCAATTTCCTTTACCAATTCCTTCCTTCACCCATCAAATGATATGACCCTATGATTAACCCCCAGCCTGGCCCATCCTGACCTCTCTGCTCTACTCCATTCCCACCATGGAACCTATTACATTTTCTACAAGAATGGGCTTATAGAGTTTTTGTACTTATGGGATTGAGTTAGTTCATTGAACATAATGCTCTCCAGTACCTCCAAAATTAGGTAATGGTTTACAAAATCATTGCTTCTGCATGTTGCGTAGTATTCCATCATGTGACTGTACCACAATTTCTCAATCCATTCACTTGTGGTTGGATGTCTGGGCTGTTTCCAAATTCTTGCAATGGTAAATTACAGTTATGAACACGTCTTTATATGTACAAGTCTGTTTGTGCCTCAGTTCTCATATTCTTGTGGTATATTCAAAGAAGTAGAATAGCTGGGACATATGAAATTTCTATGTTCAGCTTTCTGAGGAAATGCTGAAGTGCCTGTCAGAGTGGTTGTATCATTTTACAGTCCCAACACTGTATAAGAGTTCCGATCTTGTCACATCCTCTCTTATATTTATTGCTTGCTGCCCTGTTAAATTTTGCCAGTGCTACTAAGGTGTTATGGTACCTTATTGTGGTTTTGATTTGCATCTCTCTTATTGCCAGTGATTTTCAGCATTTCTTCATGTGTCTGTTGGCCATCCAAATATCCTCCTCTGTGAAAATTCTTTCTATGTCTTTTGTCCATTTTGTAATTGTGTTATCAGTGCTTTTCATTTGGAGGCACTGTAGGATTCTGTAAAATTTTGATATGAGACACTTGTCTGAGATGGTATTGCCAGATGATTTTTCCCCAGTCAGTAGTTTCTTTTTCACTCATTAGAAAATGTTTCTGTTGCTCACAGAAATTTAATCTTTAAAAGGTCCCATTCATCAATTTTTTCTTCTCCTGATTATACACTTCTGGCTGTATTTAGCAGTCTCTTTATATCATAGACCAAGACTTCTAAACTTGGTCTCAGTGTGTCTTTGTTAACTTTATGTTTTTTGGCTTTAGTCCCAGGTCTCTGATCCACCTTGTGTTGATTTTTGTGTATGGTGTAGTTTCTGTATCAGATTTCTCAGGTCCAGTTCTGCTGTCAGGGACCTTTCCAGAATACTGAGAAGCAACGACATCAGTCTAGAGACTGAAGTGTACCTAATCCAGTCCATAGTCTTCATAATTAATTGCTATGTATCACAGAGCTGATCTAAGGAGGATAATGTGGATTTCTCTGTTCTTCAAAACACCTGCAAGGGTTTTTTCCTAGTACTTCTTCCACAATTTTCTCAGTGACTAATCTCTCTATCTTCCATGTTCTGGAATTCCAATCATATGTATGTTGTTCCTTTTGATGTTATCCCATATGATTCTAATGTTCTCTTCATTTTCTTTTTGCTGCAAAAGGTCAAGGACTTTAGTCTTCAACATCAAGAAAACAATGCCATTGGCCCAATCGACAGCACCATGATAGATGGAGAAAACATTGAATTGTTAGCAATTACAGCTTGCTCAGCTCCACAATCAACACTCTTAACACCTGCAGTCAGAAAATCAAAAGATGAATTGGATTAGGAAAATTTACTGTCATGGAACTCTCCAGAGTGCTAAAGAGCAACGATGTCAGTCTAGATACAAAGGTGTGCCTAATCCAGGCCATGGTCTTCTCAATTATTTGTTATATTTCAGAAAGCTGGACAATGACTAAGGATGACAAGAGAAGAATAGATACCTTCGAGTTGTGGTGCTGGAGAAGAGTCTTTAAGATACCATGGTGAAATCAAGTCTCTTCTTGGAAGGTAGAATTTTGAAGCTCTGCCTCACTTACTGTGGGCATGTGGCCAGGAGTGACTCATCCTTGGAGAAGGACTTCATGCTTGGAAGGGTGGAGGGACAGCACAGGAGAGGAAGACCCTGGATGAAATGGATTGATACAGTATCTGGGGCAATGGGGGTTGGTGTCTCAGAATTAGTGAGACTGGCTCAGGATCGGGAAGGGTTCAGAGCTGCTATACATAGGGTCACTATACATCGAAGGTGA